GAAGGGGTCAGGGGCTTCTTTGTCCCGGGATCCATTAATTCCATCGGGAGCGTTCGATTTGCTTCTCTCGTATCCGCTTCCTTTTACGTTTTTAACGAGCGCGCGGCCGATAACCGATTGAAATCCAGAATCGAATCCCTCATCGCGGGCGCGCGTCGCTGTGGGCAACTTATGCATGGGCTACGCAGCGCATGGACTCGAGGGTCCTTCGAATTTAATTGGAATGTTTCGAGAAAGGATATATCCTCGAATCGGGTCGAATTTAATGAGGCGCGTGTTCAATTCGGAGCCGCTCGCGCAGCCCCGAGCCCCGAGTTCTGATTTCAATACCCGCGCCCGGGTACCTCGGGATCAACAGGGCCTCTCTTGGAGATGCTCTTGGTAGTGAAGCGTCGGTGCCGTGCCAAAAGTCCCTCGCCTCGGCAATCCGTCCTGGACTATAGCGAGAGGAAAGGACGAAGCCTCTCGTCGTCTTTTCCAATTGATTTTATCGTTTAACGATTGTCGTCCTCCGGATTTTATGAAATATTTTATGCCTCGTAACAATATCTCGGAGTACTACGATGATAATCGATCCATGTCATGTTGGAACGAGTCGTAAATTGTGAAAATGACCATTGGTGGGTGGATCGGCCAAGCGTTCGGCAAAGCGCGACGTTTACAATGTTTTTGGCGTGAAGGCGCGAGGCCTTGGATTTACAGGAGTCAGGCGATTCGAGAAGGAGAGGCATTGCGGTTGAATAACCCACGCTCCCCGGCAATATTACACTGTAATATTTATAAAACTGCGTTGTCCCGTCTGCTTTAGGATGCCGGCATTGCTTTGAGAGGACGTAGATTGCGGTGAGGCTACGATGGCACGACGCTTGCAAAGGCAAACGCAATAGGGTTATTAAGAGTACGTTTCTCTCCTCATCTTTTTCAACAGAACATTTTCAACAGAGCATTAATGCTCGTTTATTCCTTAATGGCGACTATTTATGTGCGCTAAAGTGATTTCCATAACCGTAAGGCTACGTGTCTATTCTCTACTCGTACCTTCGATGGATAATTGTAGTCATTGATATATGAAGGCACTTATATTTGATATCGATAAGCTTCTTTTTGTTCTTTTGTTGCTTTGTTGCTTTGTTGCTTCGTTGCTTCGTTGCTTCGTTGCTTCGTTGCTTCGTTGCTTCGTTGCTTCGTTGCTTCGTTGCTTCGTTGCTTCGTTGCTTCGTTGCTTCGTTGCTTCGTTGCTTCGTTGCTTCGTTGCTTCGTTGCTTCGTTGCTTCGTTGCTTCGTTGCTTCGTTGCTTCGTTGCTTCGTTGCTTCGTTGCTTCGTTGCTTCGTTGCTTCGTTGCTTCGTTGCTTCGTTGCTTCGTTGCTTCGTTGCTTCGTTGCTTCGTTGCTTCGTTGCTTCGTTGCTTCGTTGCTTCGTTGCTTCGTTGCTTCGTTGCTTCGTTGCTTCGTTGCTTCGTTGCTTCGTTGCTTCGTTGCTTCGTTGCTTCGTTGCTTCGTTGCTTCGTTGCTTCGTTGCTTCGTTGCTTCGTTGCTTCGTTGCTTCGTTGCTTCGTTGCTTCGTTGCTTCGTTGCTTCGTTGCTTCGTTGCTTCGTTGCTTCGTTGCTTCGTTGCTTCGTTGCTTCGTTGCTTCGTTGCTTCGTTGCTTCGTTGCTTCGTTGCTTCGTTGCTTCGTTGCTTCGTTGCTTCGTTGCTTCGTTGCTTCGTTGCTTCGTTGCTTCGTTGCTTCGTTGCTTCGTTGTTTTGCGTGTGTTTTTATTTTCACTTTATTTTCTTGCCTTTGAAAATTAATGGCAAGCGGTAAAATTAGTAATGATTCGTATTGTCGGCAAATAATAAGTGCAAAATAATAACCGATAAAGTTTCCTAGATAGCAATTTATTTTTCCAATTATATATTAATAATAGAGTAATCTGCAATTGGAAATTTTCTATTTCAATGATATTTTCTTTTATTTGCTTTTACATACCAAAGGGGCTGAAGATTCGATTATAAATGAGAATTATGAATAATAATTTTCAAATTTATGTAACGTTTAATTTTGCTACATTACAATTATTGCATTGGCAATTGAATTCGTAAACAAAAATAATAATAATAATAATAATAAATAAACAGACAAAAAAACACACACGCGCGTGCGCTTTATCGTTCATACTTTGTTCACTTTAATATTGAATTTTATGATATAAAATTGACAGCGCAAATGTCCTTAAAAAAAAATAGAAAACTCCTTAAGTGCCTTATAAAGAATGTAATAATAGTATAAGTTATAGTATAAATAGTAATAGTAAGCGTAACAGTAAATGTATAGATAAATTAAAATTGTCAAGTAAGTCTGCACAATGGCGAATTTTTTTTATTTTTTATTTATTTTTTTTTTTTTTTTCATTAAGTTTGTCGATTCACGAAAATTAAGCAAAGAATTTGGTATTAATAAGATAAATAACAAGGATTTATAATATCTTATGAATGATTTTCATGATAATTTACCAATTTATTATGACTATATTTTCATACTTTGAACTATTCGGATAATGTATTATTATTCTCAATGGCTAAAAATGCAATAATTGAAAAGATTACACCAGCGAGAATTGTCGCAGAGGAGAAAGTATAACGAATAATTGAAAGTCGTAGTTGCAAGAAGAGTCGCAACTTAGGAAGTGAATATCCTACGAAAGTAGAATATCAGAGTGGCAATAAAATACGAAGCGTGTCTCATTTGTCCCGTCCTGGGAGCTGGAAAACAAATGGAAAAGTACACGGATAATGAAAGGTGGAGATGGAGCTTCGGAGAGGCTGGGGATCGGTGCGAGGACAATTTCTTGATGTTATTAAGGCCAAAGCGCGGGACGACGATTCCTTGGAGATGAGCCACCATTAGGTGCGGGGGTGCAAGGTGCAAGCTTGCCAGTCACTGATGAGTGTAAGAGAGCGAATCGCGGCCACTTATTTTGCAATTTAGGAAATGGCCTTTTGAAGGATTTGAAGGATCGTTGCTCGCTACGCCTGAGATCCCGAGTTCTCGCAATGATGAAACACCGCAATCCATAATTACGCCTCTTTAACTCCCAACCGCTAAGCTCTTTTATAATTTACGGATGCTACGCCCTACTCGATTAGTCACCATTACTTTCTATTGCAAGCAGGTTGCGTTTTAACGGCAAGGCGCCATTTATTCCGATTAAACTATCTTAAGGTAGAACATTGAGCGAATGTTGCAAGTTGTTTGCGAATCGAATAGGTATGCACAGTTGTGGGGTAATTTAATTATTTTCACATACGGTGATTGCCGGCCGAGAGTCGCGACTTTGGTTTACGGTTTTGAGATATGACATGGAGCGAGATAAGAAGGAGGAGGAAGAGGAGGAGGAGGCGGAGGAGGAGGAGGAGGAAGAAAGAGCAGGTGGAGGAGAAAGAGGAGGAGAAGTAGGTGGAGGAGGAAGAGGAGGAGAAGTAGGTGGAGGAGGAGGTGGAGGAGGAAGAGGAGGAGAAGGAGGAGGAAGAGGAGGAGGAGGAGGACGAGGAGGTGGAGGAGGAAGAGGAGGAGGAGGAGGACGAGGAGGTGGAGGAGGAAGAGGAGGAGGAGGAGGACGAGGAGGTGGAGGAGGAAGAGGAGGAGGAGGAGGACGAGGAGGTGGAGGAGGAAGAGGAGGAGGAGGAGGACGAGGAGGTG